TATTGCTTTAATTGATGTACATTAGACGCACTCACTATGGGTGGGATGTTTTTGTTACTCCTCTCCGAATTTACTTTTTTATGTTTCTCAAGATATTTTCAATCTAGCGATGGCCGTTTCGCGAATGGGCCGAATTCATAAATGTCTGTTCCAATTTCAGTACTGTTTTAAAGGCTCCAAGGACCAAAACCATAGCAAAATGGTTGCAAAATTTTTTCAATTGGATTCAGTGAAGGGAATGTAATAAACTTGTCCCCTTTTTATATACTTATCCGATAATTAATAGACCTCTTTTAGAAATTGGTCCAGCTCATAAAAATTTTATAGACCCAAAGTGTCCTACTTTTACCCCTTTTTTTCGTTATTTTGTGAGTCCCTCTAATGTATATGTGTTTAAGAAAATACAACAACAATGACAGCAAAAACAACTTTTTTTGAGAGGTGGACTGTCCAACAGACCGACGATTGATTTTAGACGTTGTAAACAGTTTGTTGCAAGCTATAGAGAAAAAAATTTTAAGGAGACTTATCGATTTGTGAAAGTAAAATACAACTTTACAAAATCGAAACTATTCTAGTGGGTAAATAGTTCCACTCAGAAATGGGATGTGTTTATAATGTTCCAAATATGGGTCTCAGATTAAAGAGTACATTATTGGTTGTAGATCCATAAAAGCAGATATGTATATGTTCTAGCACCTTATTAGATTCTAAGACATGTCTATTTGTATGGACGTTGAAGGAACAGAAAGGGAATATAAACGCCTGGTACCAAATTGACACCAAAGAGTTTATCGTTTTTCAATAACAACCGTTGTCAATGTATATACATACGTACGACAACACTATGTAATGTTGACAACGCAACGTTGTCAACATTGCAAAATTCATTGTCGAAATCTAAATTTTATACACATCCGTTGTCTAAATGTTAACAAACGTGGATAGCTCACTATTGGCAACGGATTGTTTGTCAACGGATGTTATTGAAAAACTATAAACACTTTGGTGTCAATTTGGTACCAGGCGTGTATATTTCTTGTTCCCTCTGTGTAGAGGGCTGAAATTTTCCACAAATATTCCTTGAAATACTTGTCCTTGTGTTCAAAAATCCAGATATAGAAATAGAGAAGAAAATCTAAAACAGTTCGAGACTAATTTCCGATTCTAAATTACTTTGCTTCTACTAAGCAATCGTATAATAAGATTTACAGTACATGCCAAATCTGAATACCCCTTATATTATTACAAACAACTTATATTAATATAAACAAATTTGCATTCGTTTTGTTCACGAATTTGTTGCCAAGCAATTCTAAATTGCCCGTAGATGTCGTCTGTTGCTGTAACTTGTACAGCGCACACAAGTAGAACGAAACGTTTGCAAGAAATGAAGGCAGGAAGGAAGGTGGCAAAGTAGGAACCGACAGGTGAAGAAATTAACCATAAAACATCTTCGTATAAATAAATGACAATTATACAACATTATTTCATTTAAAATTTTATTATTATTATTTCTTTTTTTCTTAAATCAAATGACTGGCGAACAATATTTTGTATTTATTTATGATGTTTCTTGTTTTTGTTGTTGTCAAACTAGCATGAGTAAAATCTGAAATACCAAACAAGTTTTGTGACATTATTACAACACACGATTAGAATTAGAAAGACTTGCAATACAATATGAATATAGTAAGAGAGTTAAAGACAAACAAGTTTAAGTTACAATGTGGTCCCTTAAATTTAGGGCGGGGAAATGCTATTGGAAGTGTAGATATTGAAACAAATTTAATGGAAAAACATAAAGAACGAATAGGAGTGACTATGCCGAATCTTATATACCCACAAAGGATCAGTTTATGGACTAGTCTATAATTTACTATGTTGTCTATTATTTACTTAATTTAATCTTTTTTCAAACTTAATTCATAAATACATTCATATATATTTTTGCAATAAGTACACAGAGGGAAAAAGAAATATACACGCCTGGTACCAAATTGACACCAAAGAGTTTATAATTTTTCAATAACATATCCATTGTCAAAGTATATACATACGTACGACAACACTATGTATTGTTGATAACATTGCAACAATTCGTTGTTGAAATCTAAATTGTATACACATCCGTTGTCTAAATGATAACAAACGTGGTAAGCTCACTATTGACAAACAATCCGTTGCCAATAGTGAGCTAACCACGTTTGTTAACATTTAGACAACGGATGTGTATAAAATTTAGATTTCGACAACGTTGCGGATCCGTGCTTGAATCAAGTATTTTGTACTTGGTTTAAGAAAAACTGAAATTACCGAACTTCTGAAACGCCTTCGGAGTGATATGAGAGCGGATTACTCATTTCTTTTTTCGAGTACATTGACTGTTACATAAACCAGATCTAGTCTATGGATTAGTTTACGGACTAGTCTAGTCTACTGACTAGTCTATGGACATGTCTATGGAGTCTGTTGACTAGTCTGTTGACTAGTCTATGGACTGGTCTGTTGACTAGTCTATGGACTAGTCTGTTGACTAGTCTATGGACTAGTCAGTTGATTAGTCTATGGACTAGTCTGTTGACTAGTCTATTGGCTAGTCTTTTGTCTAGTCTATTGACTAGTTTATTGATAAGTCTATTGATTAATCTATTGAGTAGTGTTTTGGCTAGCCTATTGACAAGTCCATTGACTATTTTGTGGACAAGTCTATTGAATAGTCTATGATCTACTCTATGAACTACTCTATGGAATGATCTACTGAATAGTCTGAAGACAAGCCTATTGGCCAGTATATTAAATTTTCTCTCAACCAGTCTATGGACTTGTCCATTGACGAATTACATTCTAAAACTAGGCTGTAGACTTGTATATGGATCCGTTAATAGACTTGTTTTTGGGCTGTGATTATGTCAAAATGAAAATGATATTCCCAGCAGTTCGGTCGGATAGTGCCGAACTACGTATTTAGCAGGCTTGGGGGTAATAACTACACTTTCAATTACAATTACATTTAAAGTAATTGTAATTGAAGCTTTACTAATTGCAATTGCTCGTAATTGTAATTGAAGTTTTGCCATTTACAATTACTTGTAATTGTAATTGTAATTGAAGAATTTCCAATTACAATTAATTGTAATCACTAATATTTAAATTACAATTACAACTAATTTTAATTGGAATCTTCAATTACAATTAGAAGTATTTGTAATTGGCAGAACTTCAATTGCAATTATAAGTAATTGTAATTGGTTATTGGTCAATTACACATTACAAGTAATTGTAATTGGAAAAACTTCAATTACAATTATAAGTAATTGTAATTGGTTATTGCACAATTACACATTACACGTAATTGTAATTGACCATGTAATTAATTACTTTGTGTAATCATTACCCCCATCCCTGGTATTTAATTTAACACTTAGGATTACACCAACGACTGCCCAGATGACTGGCTACATTAACATGTGCTTGTCCTACGAGGAAGTCAATCGTCACCCCATAGATTACAAAGAGACAGACAAAGAGCTTAAGTTTGCTTTTTATGCGTCCACTCTCTCGCTTACAAAGGAGACACTAAAGTAATGATTATCTTCATCCTCGTTTACAAAGAGTACATCCGAGACGAATTAGAGTCCACCAGATGGTTAGATGTTAGTGGAAATCACTGTCATTTACGGATGCATTGACTCTTTGTCGAACTGCTGGGTTTCATAAGATCTGAAAAACATCCTCTTTTAGTGGTCCTATTCATCTTTTCATTATTCCAAGTCATTGAACTAGTCTATGGACAGGTCTTGGTCTTAATCTAGGCTTTTTGCTAGTATTTTGACTAGTCTGTAAACTAGTTTATGATCTAGACTATGGGCCAGTCTATGGATCTTAAAGTTTGAGATATTTATCCAATTATTGATCAGTATTAAGCTTCTTTTTAATCTTTATAAACTCTTTAATGTTTTTCCTTTAAACCGTTACTTTAAAATAATAAAGTGACTTTAACAATTTAAGCATTTTAAGTAGGATCAAAGGCAGTAAATAAAACTTGAACCAATACTCTAGTGCTAAAGAAAAATTAGTTCCTACATTATGTAGCATTAGCAGATCACGAGAATATTTGATAGTTGCGAGTGCTAGATCTTATAATATTGCCTTAAACGAGACGTTAACACTTAATTTTCAATTATTTATTTACTGATTTATAATATTTTTTCTTCTTAACTTTTAGAGAATATAATATTAAGATTTTCTTGCCATTCTTTACACGAAAATCATATTCAAACCAAAATATTAAATTACATTCAAAACATTGGTTTGGCCCCAAACAATTTTGTTATGACAGACAATGTCAAAATTTTCATACAAAGTATTAAATTAAAACATAAAAAAAAATATTAAACATGGGCAAAGATCACACTTGATCAGATTTAATTTAATATCGATTAACAAGAAAATAAAATATGAACTTTAATTAGTGAATGAATTTGGCGCGCAACGTATTATACGTAGGAGGATTATATGATCTTTACAGAATCTTAAATACCCACCATTAATAGGATTATTATCGTGATAGAAAGGGGACCTTTATGGTGTTTAGACCAATTATATGCCGAACTATATAGAATTTCATGATTTTTGTTGTTGATGAATCTGAGTATTTAATTTTTACTTCAGAAATATTGGATTTGATTTAAGCTCAATGGACACTTGCTTTGAGATAAAATTAAGATTGATTTAAGAATGTAAAAGATTGAATTAATTCCAAAGTGGGCTTGATTTGAGCTCGTTACGTACTTGATTTTCAGAAAATTACTAATATATGTACATCACTACCTACTATAGGGCGCTTATAAAGAACAATTAAGAATAAAACCGCAGAATTAATATTTTTAATTTTGAATATTATTTTTTTAATTTTATTTCCATATTAAACTTTCATAGGGCTTTATACAATACAACTTTTTTTTGTTTGTTTTGATTATGATAAAATATCAAATTACCTTTTTTTATTATTTTTTTATTATTATTATTAGATGATGTGGTTTGCAGTGAGTATGGTATTCAAATTGTATAATTTCAAACGCAAGAACTTTTTGAATTGATTTTTTATAATTTTTCTTGCAAATTTTTAACAAGAATTTTGTTTAATATTTTATTTAGTTTATAATGAGTTGAAAAAATCACTTAGTTTTATTAATATTTAATAACTGTTAGTTTGATCAAACTTTTTTGAGAGTTTTATTTTTATTAATTAAGAAAAAATTTTTTATTATTAAAATTTTCCCGCTTTTTTATACGTTTTTTTATTTTTCAGTTTTTTTTGTAAATAATTTTCATTAAATACTTTTAAAAGATTTTTATAAATTGTTTTTATAGATTTTATTTATTTTTTTTTATGAATAATTCTTAATTTTTATTTATAGAAATATTTTTATTATTTAATAATAATATTAAACTATTTTTTTATATTTTTTATTTAGTTTCAAAAAATATTTTATTATTGTTTTTTTTTTAATTTTTTTTTCTTAATTAGTATTTGTTTATATTTAGTTTAATATTTTTTATTTTATTATTTACTAAATATATATTTGTTACAATTCTAGTTTATTTTTGTTAAACAAATATAAACAATTTATTTTCTTTACACAATTTTATAATATTTAAACAATGTTTTCACTTAGTTTTTAATTAATTATTTTTTATTTTTTTTTTTATTAAATGATTAGTAAAGATTTTATATCTTTGGATTTACTAATATTTTGTGGTTTTTAATTTTTATTTTTTCATTTTCAACAAGAAATCCTTTAATCTTTCACAATTTTTACACAAATTTGAAAAATTTTTCATCAGATATATTTTTTAAAATTTCGTAGATTTTACTATAATGTTTTCTAAAAGGAAAATTACAAAGAAATTAATAAATTTTTATAATTTTATAAACTTTTTGCAGCTTACAGTATGTGACAATATAATGTTAAGTTCTATCAATCTGGGGTTACGAATTCGATTCCCGATAAAAAGTCGGTCAATTAAAATATAAATTAAATCTGTATTGTAATATAGATGAGACAAAATTTCCAGGTTCAATACGGTAGTTTATTAAATCATATATTGAGGCTTCAATCTCCCCGATCTTTTGCCACATTGGGGTAGAATGGAGGTTCTTCGGACAAAAATCTGTCGGTTCTAAATGCATGATTCACAATATATGAAAAAAAGTGCCGCTGAATCACACCGATTGCTCACAGGAGCTTATGGTGAATGTGTTTTAGCGGTTTCAATATGCGGTTCAGAAGTTCTGATTTAGATACGGTAGATAAAGATCGAACAGGTCAGCCAAACAAGTTTGAAGACCAAGAATTGCAGGCATTACTTGCAAAACCATAGGGAGCTACGCAAGCAATAATTTTAAAACGTTTGGCAGCATCAGGATTTATCCAAAACTAGGGAAGCTTGTTACTGTAGCTAAAGACCTAAAAGATTATATCTTAATGAGCTTTTAAAATCTGGGCGATCACTCTCTCCCTTTGTTAAACACATCACATCAGAACGGGATATTGAAATTGTCATCAAATTTCCAATAATAGGGAAGATATAACATGTAGAATATCTTTGCCCACACACAACGTGGCCACCTTTCTTTAATAAAAATATATAATTTGTAATATATAAGAAGTGGATTTGGATGAATAATTTTTTCGTTTATTTATAGATTTATTTTGAATTTTATAATCATATATGAACATCATATATGACCTACGGTCTATTGTCGAATTATATCTTAATCGATTTATTGTAGTGGAGTGTATAAAACTACTAGTGCAACATTCTATCACTATTACTGCCTAGCTTACATATTCATGAGGATTTTAACAGTATTCCGGGTATAGCTTATACGGAAGCTTAGAGGTATTGTACTTAGTTGGAAAAAGAAGTATCGGGGCTGGAAAAATCCAACCCCCTGCTTTCAACAAATAGACTGACGGACATGGATAGATTGGCTTAGAATCTAATAGGGCTCCTTTTTAAATGGGGTGGATCTGATGGTTAATTGAAAGTGATTAGGCTCATTTTTAGAATTTGGGAAAGATCTATTTTTCTCAAGTTATTGATATCAAAATTTTTCGATTGAAGTTACTATTTAATGCTAATAATCTAGCCACAATTGACCGCTTTGAGGACAACATTGTTCGAGTTATTTGTTGCAAATGACCAGCATTGCTTGAAAAGTGTTCCAGAAATTGGACGTCCAGAATGCGCTCCTTCATAAACAGCCCTGGTAGCCATATAACCGAAATCTCATTCAAATCAATCTGGAGCGGTTTCAGAAGTACGTTTTTTCTTAAACAAAGAACAAAATCCTTGATTTAAGTACAGATCCGTTAAGTACGAAATATAACTTAAAATATTTAATTAATCCCAAAATGGGCTTGATTTGAGAACGATTCGTACTTGACTTCCGAATTCGAAAGATTTTAGGGTATAACTACAACTCTATAGTTGGGTGGGTATTATGCGTTTGAGTTTGTATCGCATAAAAATATTGGTCCTATTACCCACCTAAAAGTATACCATTCACTTTTGTCCATGTAAAGCTTGTACATTGCTTACAAGTTTTACAGCTCACAGTTTTCAAAATAATTGCATAAAATTTGGCACGTACACTTTTTTGCCCCAAGTACGAAGCCTTGGGTACAATCGCCCCATTATTTCACCTAGCTACTATACAACTTAAGCCATCGAATAGGGTTTTTGAACTTATAATTATGTTAAATATACTTGTATCTCGAGCAGCACTATTATGTTTTATATAAGCTTTCATGAACTTGCGGAATTTCGTAATGATCGGATCTCATTTGACCCTATCTCGTATACAAAGACCCCCTTCACATAATGTATGAATGTCCACATTTCACAAACACCAATACCAAGACAAAATTTAGCACAAACATAAATCCATCCACCAACCATCGTGTAATATAGATGAGACTTATCACCCAAGTTCAACCCGGTAGTTTAGTTCAAATATTGAAGGTTCAATCTCCCCCAACTTTTGTCACATTGGGGCAAAATCGGCGTTGTTCTTAGAGTATTCAGTAGACTACTCCATGGACTTATAAATAGACTTGTTATAACACTAAATTATAGACTAGTCCGTAGACTAATCCATAGACTAGTCCGTAGACTAATCCATACACTAGTCCGTAGACTATGACTGGTTCATTGAACAGAACGGGGAAATGTTTTAACTATTATGAGCTTTTGAAATCTGGCCAGGCGATCATAGGGAACTTGAACCGAGTGCAACAAATTTATTTGAAATTGTGCGACATTTTACCGCCAAATGCATGAAGTTAGCATTTAGATTAAGATTATCTTCCGTATTTCTTAAAATTGAAAACAAATTTTAACATTTTTCTACAACTCTTAATATTAAATATGCGATATAGAGATTCAATATTAAAATCAATAAATTTTTTTCCAGATTTTTATTATATTTTGGTATTTTAAACAAATTTTAAAAACACTCGATCACATTATATTGTCACACACTGAAATATTAAAAATTCGAAAATATTTTCATAATTAGCAAGTTTTATTTTTCAATGAATTGTTTAAACTCTGCAAAAGTTAGCAATTTATTGACACTCACTGTAAAACCTTTTCAACGATGAAATAAATCTGCCGGTTTTTAATAATTTCTTCAAATGTTTACACGATTTTAAGGGAATTAACAACAAAAAGTTATTTAGTTATTAATTTTTAATAATATCAAATTTGTATTTCTGTTTATTTTTAATTATTTAATAATATTGTTTATAATTATTTTTTAGATTTAAAAATTTTTTACACTTTATGCTTGATTTTATATAAGAAAATTTTCTTTTACAAAGCCGACGGCTTTATTACAACTAATTTTGTTATTTTATTTAATAAACAATTTATTTTTATTAAAATTGCAACACTTTTTTTAAAAAAAATTTCCTTTAATTTTTCTTAAAATTTTTTTTCATACACTTTTTAAACTTTGTCAAATATTTGCAACAAAATTTTGCACAACGTTTATTTATTTTTTTTTTTGTGTTTATTTTTGTAAACAAACCGTAACAAACATTAACGCGAACAAACAAGATTGTTTTGGCTCGATTTGGTTTTGTTTTGTATTTTAATGCGCAGCTCAAAAACACTTTAGTACCGTTTAACCAAAAACAGCGACTGTTTACTGTGATGTTTGCAAAAATATACTGAAAAAGCAAGATCCAACTTAAGGCTGGCTGCCTGCCTCACTGACTAACTGACTGCTTGGCTGGCAGTGATGTGAGCAGCAACAGCAGCGAGGCAAAAAAAAAAACAAAACAAATTTGTATTAGTTTGTTCAAAAAACAGCAAAAATGCAAAAGAAAATACACAAACTATAGGAAAATAAATAATAATAATAAAAAAAACAACAAACTGAAAAAGAAGCAACAAAAACAAAGAAATAAAAAAAAGCTTAAAACCCAGAGACGACGGACGTCTATAATGAAATAGTTGGTTGGGGTTTGGGTTGGTTTTGGTTTGGTTAGATTGTTGGTTGGCTTGTGTAAATGTGTTGGATGGATGGATGGATGGATGAATGGACAAATAGACAGACATACAGACGGATGAATGAACGAGCGAACAAACGAACTTACAGACGTATAATTTGGCTTATCGTCTCTCAGTTTGTTTGTTTGTTTGTTTCTTTGTATGGCACAACATGATTATAAACCTTTACAGACTGGCTGCATGTCTGCCGGGTTGCTTGATTTTAGGCGGCCAACTACTTAATATATACATACAAACAAATAAGCATGCGAGGGATAATTGAACAGATTTTTTACAATCTTAGTGATTATGGCAAATAGAAGATTTATTCCTCGATTCTTTATCAAAGCAGATTTAGATCAGAAGTATCCGAATCTGGTTTCCGAATTTCTCCATCACATCTGGTTTTCGAGATGCCGAGTTATGTTTTTTATCATATTTGAGAGACGTTTTAACATCGCGAAGATGTCTAAAATTTTTTATGCCATCTGGAAGTCCAATTACTAGTTGCTTTTAACTCTAGGTTAAGATATCTCGAAAAACGAACATATGTTAATCCTACATACATATGTATGTATTGGACTTTCAGATGATATAACAACTTTCATAAACAACGATATGATATCTCGAAAACCTGATGTGATGGAAAATTTCAGAGGACTCGAGTTTT